ACTGGTAGGTTAGCTTGCTGCTGGGGTCCAGCCTATTGGGACTGAGCGAAACAGGCCAGACACACCCTGGAGCCTCCTGCATCCCTCCCCGGCCCCCTCTCCGGCCCTGATCGTGCACCAGTGGGGTCCCTCGGCCTGGCCTGCACCCTCTCGCAATCCGGGACTCCTTGGGGGATGTCAGAGAGCTGGTTTCACCTGATTCCACAGGCCAGGCCGAGGGATCCCATTGGTGCACAAATTTATGCACAGGGCATCTAGTGCTCCAATAAAACCTTACTTACTGGTACACTGAATTTTGAATTTTATATAATTTCACACACCACAAATGATTTTTAAAAACGTTTTCCAACCACTTAAAAATGTAAAACCCGCTCTTGGCCTTGCAATAAGGAGTTAGAGTCACAGCTTTTCATCAGGGAGGGAGGATAAGGATGTGAATTGGGGCCCTAACCGGTTTGGCTCAGTGGATAGAGCGTCAGCCTGCAGACTGAAGGGTCCCAGGTTCGACTCGGGTCAAGGGCATGTACCTTGGATGCAGGCACATCCCCGGGAGGTGGTGTGCAGGAGGCAGCTGATCGATGTTTCTAACTCTCTATTCCTCTCCCTTCCTCTCTGTAGAAAAAATCAATAAAATATATATATAAAAAAAAGGATGTGAATTGGGGGAGACCAGTGGGTCCTAAGCCGAGATTCACTACCAGGGATCTGGGCATGTCATTGCAACTCTATGGGCAGTTGAGCTCGGCATGTCAGCATTTTGAAAAACCCTAACTTAACTCTGGTGCAGTGTCACATATAGAAATTTTTTGATATTTGCAACCACAGTAAAACAAAGACTTATATTTTTGATATTTATTTTATATATTGAAATGCCATTTAACAAAGAAAAATCAACCAAAAAAAATGAGTTCGCGTGTCACCTCTGACACGCGTGTCATAGGTTCGCCATCACTGTATCTATTCCAATCAAGGGCAAGTGCCTGGGTTGCAGGTTCAATTCCCGGTCCCAGATAGGATGTGTGTGGGAGATGTGCAGGAAGCAACTAATCTCTCTCTCTCTCTCTTTCTCTCCCTTCCACTCTCTTTAAAAATCAATAGAAAAAATCCTCGGATGAAGATTAACAAAACAAAACAAAAAAACCCACAAAACAAAAAAACCCACAAATCCAGAATCGGGTAATTTCTCATCCCCCCACTCTGCCTCCTCCTCATCCCACCCGGACTACTGCAGTCAGTCTTCTTTCCTTTGGGCTCCCTGTCTCCACCTTCACCCCTCAGTCTCTGCCCCACTCAGCTGTCAGAGAGATCCTGTTAGAACTAAGTCTCATCACAATCCCTCCCCTACTAAGAGCTCTTATCTGCTCCTTCCTCAGCCACAGCAAAAGCTGAAGTTCATATAGAGGCTACATAGGAGGACCCATCATCTCTGACCTCCTCGCCCCCCGCTCCACCCTTTGCTCACTGTTGGTCCTATAACATGCCAAGCACATTCCTGCCTCAGGCCCTTTGCACATGCTGTTCTTGCTGCCTAGAACCCTGTCCCAAATGGGAGACAGAATGTATTTCTAGTCAAGGTTCACCCTCCTCCCTCGCTTCATTCAGGTCATTGTGCAAACACCACCTTCACTAGGAGAAAAATAATGGCCCTTTCACCTCACACTCTCTTTTCTTCTTAGCCCCATCACCTCCTGACAAATGTATTTAGTTGCTTTCCTATGTGCTGTCTGTTCTGCCACAGAACACAGTCTTTGAGAGAATGGACACCTCTGATTACTTCACAACTCCATCCCCAGCCCCTCTTAGGGCCTGGCACAGGGGGAGGGCTGTAAATACTCCTTTAGGGAACGTAAAGTTTCGTCGTCCACATTATCTCAGCTCCTGCTCTGTGCCCAGCCCATGCTGGGTGGTAGTGGGGACAGAGCTGTGCCTGGAACAGCCCGGCCCGGCCCTCATGGTGACAGACTTGCCTCTAATCCAGACAACGACCCAGAATAGGCAGGGCTGGAATGAGGGAGCCTAGGGCGGCGAGAGCCCCGAAGGAACACCTGGCTCAGCCTAGGGGGGCAAGAGGTGGTTTCCAGAAAGCAGGGCACCCAGAGATCTCTCTGATGAGGTCACCTGTGAGCACAGGCCTCAGTGAAATAGGAATCAAGCCATGCGGAGATCGGGGGAGAGCCTTCCAGTCAGCGGGAACAGCAAATACAAAGACCAAGGAAGGGTGACTCAGGCTTAGCAAGGAGGCCAGCGCGGAAGAGGTGGAGGCTGAGGTGGGGGCAGAGGTGAACGTTCAGGGCCCTGAAGATCCCGGCGAAAACTTGGGCCTGTACTCTGGTGAGACAGGAGCCATGGAGGTTCTGAGTAGAGGAGGGACAGGGCCTTCACAGGATCCCTCCGCCTGCGGCACAGAAAATGGACAGTGGGGGACAGAGCAGGAGCGGGGAGCCCAGTGAGGAAGGCACCACAGTGGTCCGGGGGAATGATGATGGTGCCTGGCGTGGGGTGGTAACAGGGGGGTTCGAGAAGTGGTCACAGTAGGGTATGCTTTGAAAGTTGAGAGCCCTCACTATTTGCTGATGGATTGAGAGAAAAAGCAGAGCCACGGAAGGCTCCCCGGTTTTGCCTGGTCTGGAGGACCACAGTCAATGGGATTAACGGGGATAGACATTTTCTAATCTATTTTTTCTAATCTATTTGTCCAGGGCACTGCAAGCTTAGTCGTAGGTCATCAGCCCCCAGGGCTATCCCCCAACCTAGATTAACACTTGAGTGGTTTAAGAGAAATACCTAGTCTCCAGGATTCACACGCAATAAAGGATTTATGGGAAATTAAGCAAGTGGCCAAGGACTTGGTCACTAAATTAAATCCCTGGATAAAACAAAATTCAGAAAAAATAAAAAAAATTCAGGGTGGGCCAGCGCAGGGACTTGTTCTCTCCAT